GTATAGGAGTACAAGCGGCAATGGCAGCTGATTATAATATTGCCCAATTTCGATATCTTAACAAACTTTTACTTGTACATGGTCATTGGGATTACATGCGCATTTCAGAGATGATATTAAATTTCTTTTATAAAAACGTAATATGGGTATTTCCGGTATTATGGTACCAAATCTATTGCATGTGAGTATTTCGATATAAATATATATATATACACACTGTATATATACACATTAAAATTGTACACTTATTAATTACTTGATAATAATAATTTCACGTACTTCGTCATCTAGGTTCTCCGCCAATATTTTCTATGATTATAGTTTTGTACAATTATATAATCTGTTTTTCACTGTCGCACCTGTTGTAGCTTTAGGTAAAGCTTGTTTCAATTCTTTTTTTACTTGCTTTATCAAATTCACTAATTTTTTTTTTTTGCTTTTTTTAAAGGGACGATTGATCAGTCAGTTAGTGCATCATATTGCTTAAAATATCCAATCATTTATAGTTTGGGAATAAGAAGAATGCGTTATTCTAAAAAATTATTTGCACTGTATTTTCTTGATGGAATATGGCAGTCATTGGTTGTATATTTCACATTTTATTTTATATATTCATTGTCTACTAATGTCACCACGTCCGAAGGGTACGATGCTGGTAACATCGAATTCTCAACCGCAGTTGCTATAACTGTAGTTGTTATTGCAAACCTTTTTGTTTGTTTTAACACATATCACTGGAGTTGGATAATATGGGCAATAATAAGTGTTGAACTTGTTTTTATTTTTGTTTATGTTCTTATGTATGGTCTTTTTCCAGAAAGTCCAATATATGGAATAGCTGAACAGTTACTTAGTGATGGTATATTTTGGTTTGGCATGTCATTTTCGATTTTATTATCTGGTTTACCACGATTCGTAATAATTTTTACCAAACAATGGTGGTACCCGGATGCTTTAGACACCGTTAGACAAATAAGAGCAAGTGACAAAATAGCAAAGAAAAAAGAAGAGTTAAAAAATCAAAAGACTCATGAAAAAATAATACCACCGATATTACAAGTAACGGACCAATCAGATAACGAAATCATAAATACTGTACAACAGACAGACGATTAGATTTTTTTTTTTTTTGTATTGTATTTGTAAATTATTATAATTGTTTGGTATATTCCCTAATTTTTTATAGCTTCTTTATCGTAATAAATATAAAAGTTGTTAAAGAGTATTTATACTTATTGTATGTAGTCTATCTTTAAACAAGAGAATTCTACGTATAATGCTAAAAAGTTTAAAGTTTTTCCATTAATAACTAAAAATTCAAACCAAGTTGTAAACTTGAGTGTAGATTTTTTTTTTGTCTGGTGTTATTATTTTGGCTGCACGAAGAATTTTTAGCATGAATAACTTTTTAAATGCGTTTCTTTTTTAATTCCATGAAATACTTCTTTTGATAAATAATTATTACTATAATATATATATATATACAGATTACTACAATCTGGAGTCTACTTTGAAGATTAAAAAAAAATTATAAGATGCCGATAGTGCAAAATTTATAAAGCTCTAAAAATGATTAAAAGTATCTGTTCAAAAAATATTACCTTCTTGTCCCGAAATGCCAACACCGACATTAGCGGCTTGAATCATGCTCACATCATTTGCACCATCACCTATTGCTAGTGTTGTGGACTTTTTTCCTCTTCGTACTAATTCTACCATCAGGGCCTTTTGTAAAGGACTAACACGACAACATATTACAGAATGAAAATAATCAGACAATTCAAGTATTCTCTGACGTGATTTTTCATCATCTAGCAGATGAATTAAGGCAGAACCATCGATTATAAAAGCATGTGTATCATCGGGTCCCGTTTCATCTTTTTGTTCATCATTGCTAGGTATCAAAGATGTATAAACATGATCAAGTTGTTCTGCGACAGAATCTTTTTTTGAACCCTTTACAATCCAGAGCCTCATTTCCTTTGTCAATAATTGGGCTGCAAACCCAATATTAATAGCTGTTTCTAACTTATCACCTGTCAAAACCCAAATTTTAATTCCCGCACTTCGAAGGTTTGCTATACAATCTGGAACGCCCTCTTGAAGTTTATCTTCAATTGCAGTAGCACCCAAGAGGATAAGTTCCCTTTCGATTTCCTCGGAACAGACGTCAATTTTCGAAGAACGATCTTGAATGGCGGTCGATGCTTCTTGATATTTTGTTGCCCAAGATTTATAATAGGACTCATTCAATACTCTATATGCCAAAGTCAATGTCCTGAGACCTTAAAAATGACAAATAACTTTATGAATGAATAATCAATCATTCTATTGAAATGGTAAAGTTTGTGCATAGGGATGGTCAAATGTCCTGTTCCCGGTCTGAAACTAAGTTCAAATAAATCATGTGAAGGTTGCATTCGAGCTCAAACTCAAGTTTCGAACCTATTTACACAAATGCATGTACATATGTGCGCATGTACATATTTTGTATAATTTTAGCACAATAGCTGTAGTACTATTATAGAAAAAATCAAAGTCCCGACTTAAAAACAATAAGCTGTTTTAAGATTTAAATCCTTTGGAACCAGGATCGAAAAGTCAATCAAATCCTTAAATAAATCGTTTCAGGACCCGGTCTTTTGGAACTATTTTCCATCCCTAATTGCGTATACCAGTAGATAAACTTACCATCATTAGAAAATTCATCAATATCAGCTGAAGTCTTTTCAATCAATTGTTCTTGACCACTTGCTAAACGTTCAAAGATAATGTTATCTGCGCCCTTACAAAATAGTACTATACCACCACCTAGTGGTTCAGGACGACGAACTATTATACTCATTCTTTTACGTGAGGAATTAAATTCCAAAACATTTAATATATCAAAAACATATTCTTGACCAAAAATGTCAACAGTCATTGATTCAGTTGTTCGACCCAAAAAGGCGAATCCAATATTTTTTGCGGCAGAAACTAAAGCAGCTTCATCAGGAGATTCAGCTTTATATACAAGGTCATGTACCAATGTTTTATCAATTGCAACAGATTTTTTCCCTCTTTTTGCTGAAGGAGATACTAAACTTGCCACTGATTCGAACCCTTTAAAGGATGATTTGATATTTGAAATCGAATTTTTGACTTTTTTTAGAGTAAAAGGTGAATTATTTGGCGAAAGCTTTTCTTCAACTGCTGGATTTAAATTAGGATTATTTGTTTGATCTGATTGTATAGGAGTACAAGCGGCAATGGCAGCTGATTATAATATTGCCCAATTTCGATATCTTAACAAACTTTTACTTGTA